TTCCCAGGGGCTCTGCCCTCTGAGCAGGGCCACCTGGCCAGGGAGCCCACGGTGGGAGGCTGGAGCCCAGCCGCGCTCCGGGTCACGGGTGAGCTCCGCTCGCTGCCGGCTCTGCTGCTGGCGCACTGGACCCCATGGGGCCGTGTGATGGGTCCCAGCCATGGCACGTGGCATGGTGTTCAACACCTCACGGTGGCACCTCTGGCCACCACAACCATGCCGAGAAGCGTGCAGGTTGCTCGACGCCTTCCAGCTGCAGGCTGCATGCAGTGGGCAGCCTGCAGTGGGCAGCCCCATCCCACTGTGGTCGCTGCGCCCACACCAGCACCCGGCAGTGCAGCCTGAGCGGAGCCCCCGGCCGCTCGCTGCTGCCGGAGCATCATCCGCCTCCTGACACCCGGGTGGTTTCATGGGTGTTCCTGGAGCTGTTGCCCACGGCCAGGCTCTCCTGGGGGCTGGAGCCGGGGTCCCCAACACGGTCAAGCTGGAAGGAAGCGGCTCCGTGAAGGCAGCGGTTGTGCTGGTGCAGGGGACGGGTGGGCTCAGCTCTGCCGTGCTCCCGGCCGCATCCTGACACACGACGCGCTGTGTCCCGCTGGCTCCTTGCGCTGCTGATTCCGTGCCAGTCACTCTGTGGGGACCCAACGAGTTCATTGTGTGAGAAACCAGCTCTTGCTCGGTCCCCCTGCCCCATGTGGGCACTTTTTTGTCCGTTCCCAGACCCACTCTCTCCTCTCAATCCCAATTGCCTCTCCAGGGCCCGGGGGGAGCCTCCCCATCCTGCTAGGCCCAGGTGCTGAGCCCACCCCACAGTTGGCTGAACCCCCCGCTGCCAAATCCCATCCCGGCCCCTCTGAGCTCCCTGGCTGCAGGAACAGGGGGGTCCTGTCCTGTCCTGGAGGTCCTGTCCCATGGGGAGGCATCCTGCCCTGGTGGGGGGTTCCTGTCCCGGCAGGGGTGTCATGTCCAACGGGGCATCCTGTCCTGCCAGGACTCACCGCTGGACCCGGGAGGGGTTTCTAGGTCCCAGCTATGGGGCTCAGCCCCTTCTTCCAGGGCCCCCC